ACTATAATAATTTTATAATCCAGTAGGACTTTTGAAGTCTTTGCTAATGTTAAATTTTCGAAATACCGAAATATAGCTTTCTATCACGAAATTCGAGCTAAATTTTTACTTAATATGAAATCAAGTTAAAATAAGTAAGAATATTACAGTTAGGCAACCTCGACGATTAGATATCGCACATCACTTCGCCTAATACAATTATTCACTCGTTTTGGTACTAGAACACCAAATGTTACACATCATTTTCATGCAAAGGCATACAAGCCCCGAACATCAAATGACATGATCAAAATTTGGGAAACTTTATGCGCCTGACAAAAATTTTATTACTTTTCATTTTCCGTCATAAAAAAGTAAAAATTAGGCGTTCTCCACAAATTCCGTATCGCTCATTTTTTTGCTCAATTGCTACTGTGAACTAATATGTATAATTAAACTTTTTCTGATTACATACGCCCGCGCAATCTTAATATACACTGAACCACAAGTGGTGTAGCGTTTAAAAATACATTCTTTGCAAGTGCACTATTATGTATCTTTCATTTCATGTTTGAATTAAAGACTTGTCTGCAAAACCATTAAAAAATTTTTTCTTTAAAAGTTTCGAGCTTAAAATTCCTATGATGAATGTTAAGAGCGAACTTCAGATTAATCTGTCGTTACTGTTCCATACTAGATAGCAGGAATTTCTTGAAAGAAGTTTTCTGTTTTTTTATTCTGAACCAAATGTAAGTGTTCCGTCGAAGCATCGCTCTAATTACAAAAAACAGATACATGCAACACAGGTCAGTAGAGCTTTTATTCTTAGTTAAAACGATAAGCTGTATCACCTGACTCAAGAGTTGAAATAAACTTTGCCTCCACCACCATCGCGTCATAGTTAAAATCTTCACAGGAATTATCACTCCAAAAATCAAAAATATATATATGCCATCAATGTGCAATTCACAGCAGATGTCAAATTTTAGTACAAAGATATAAGACACCAAATAAAATATTGCGAGATGATTCGGAGCGGCATGGACAACTTTTTCAATTCATGTAACAAAAACTGAAGTTCTTATGACAAGAAGCCCTAATTTTCAATGCTTCGCGACGAAAATCAGATCATAATAGTAATTTAAAATAAAAAAATTAACTACAGCAAAATTGGACCATCTCGTCCTATTTTTTGGATTCTAATCTGTATATAGATTTTCATGCAAATTGATCCTTTGTAGACAAAAAAGCCTAAATTTTAAAGTGGTCTGAAAAAATTCACTGTACCAAATTTGTATCATCCACAACCATATATATGAACTGCACAAAAATTTTTGTGTTTGACGACAGAGAAGTGTAAGTTTTAATATTTTATGATGAAACTTGAATTATAGAAACATGTTTGATACAAGAATGAACTATCCTGAATTTTGAATACATACCACGATTTTTGAATCTTTTGGACACAACAGACAGAGATATAAAAAAACCTGTCCGACTGTTGTCAGTCCATGTAAATTTGTGTTTAAGGTGGAAAATGATGAGATATTTTGATGAAATTTAATACAATGGCGTGCTTTGAACCAAGGACGAAGTACTATTGAAAATGGTTTGGATCGGTTCGCGTTTTCGCCCCCCATATAAAGCCTTATTTTGAAAAGTCTTTGTAATTTCAAAATTTCTCGACAAAATTGACTAAGTAATAGTATCCCGGCATTCGAAATTACTATGTAAACTTTTTGAACCTGCTCTTATATAACCGTTCCCGCGGAAACTGAACCCTTATATAATAAAAAGGTACAATTTCTAATATTTTATGACGATTATTAGTTCATAATAGTAAATTGCCATAAAAGTCAGTTTTACCGAATTTGGGTCACGTCGATCTATTTTTAGGATACCACCACCTATAAGGATATCTTCAGTATTCAGGCTGTCATGAAAAGTATGCCTTTTGTATGATTTAGTTTATTATTCCCAAAACGAGTGTATTAAGCGAAGTGGTCTGCCTCTGCGACTATGTTCTTAATTGTTAATAACCGAAAACAGTCATCAAAGAACCATAAAATACTTAATGTTTCTGCGTGTTATTGTCCATGCGAATATTCGACTGCGTGTTGTGTAAGGGAATGCATACCGCAACAATAATTAAAATTAAAACCAGAAATGTGTCATTTTTAAACTATTAACTACACTTCTCGTTAGTAATATACATTATCTTTTTAAAGCCACTACTATAATATACAAGAACTATAACTTGGTGTAAATGTTCACAACGACCTAATACAAAAATTTACAAAAATGTTATATAATAGATAACGCACGTTCAGACCATCAAATAATAAACGCACATCGCTCTATCGAAACGGAATCTGATGCTAACCTATGTACATTTTATATGATCTTGACTGTTAACTTACGAATTTTTAATATTGCATATTTAAAAAGTCTCCCCTGCGTCATTAAATAACTAGAAAGCGATAAAATCTCTGAAAGTAGAAAACTTGCTTTCAAAAATTTTATTGTCAATTTAGAGTTTATATTACTATCATCTATTAAATTTGTAGTTCTTCTCTGTTTGCAGTAAACCAAGTGAGACGGGGATAAAATATGCTTGTGAATAAGAATTTTGCTGAAAAAAAGCAATTTTGTTTTCTTACATACTCCCGAGAATCATTGGTGTATTATATATAATTTCCAACTACATGACATTGGTTTTAATTTCTTTTAGAATCAGCTATCATATTAGTTTCAAAAATGAGATTCATATAAGACTCATGCTAATCGGCCCATGCACGTCATCACAACCGAAAGTGTAGTTGACTAATATAGAAGATTTAACCCAAAGAAAATATCGATATCTTTTTATAGTCCGAATATAAAATTTTATTCACATGTAATAAAAATTTCTTTTTATTAAATGTTTTACTGCATAGCGTTTAATTTAGCTTTCATCATTTGGAAAAATTTCTTTCAACCATAAATTTATTCAAATTTTGATACACTTATCTACCAGACGATATCCGTAAAACCAAATCATAACATCGTCGTTTTTCAATCACGTAAAATAAAAATTAGAGTTAAAATGAAAAAGGAAGCACTAAACATATCATAAACAATTTACAATTACGCACTGGCGAATAATATAATTATGACAGGGCAGATATTCTACTTAAAAAATTTTCATTTCGCTTAATTGCTTTCTTAATATTATTATCAGCATTTCGAACTTTTAAGACATTTCAATTTTTTTATTACAAATTGCAAAAAAATTATATTGATTTCATTTATAATTTACACATGCTTCAGTATAGTAATTTCTTTTAGAATTTAGTAATCAGACCGATATCGTATGTAGTCTTGTTGAAACGTTGACAAATCGAAAACGAATGAAAAACTTATGAGTTTCATTAAAATATGTTGTTGACCACATATAATAGGAAAACAAAAGAAAAAATCTCAACTTTTAAGCTTTTTATTTTTTACGGGTCGCTATTTAAATAGGAAACATACCCACACACGACTAAAAACGAGCTCTCGTAAAATACGCACTCAATAAATAAACGCCAGATGCCCAAAGCGCCTATAAAAAAAAAAACACCAAAATATAAAAAATATATGGAATTGAAATATTATTGTTTCCAACAAATTTCTACTATTTCGTAAACAAAAAGTAGTAAGAAATTTATTTATGCGCCTTAAGACGAATCTTAAGTACTCGTCATTTAGAGAGCATATGTGTAGTTGTCAGTGGGTCGATTGTTGGCTGCATTGAATTCTTGGGTGGAACTATTAAGGTTAAAGAATTTTCAGAATGTTTAGAAATTATCAAAAAAAAATGTTTTCAAAACTCGTTCACACTAGTCACGAACAATACAATAACTTGCGAAAAAAGACGAAGAGAAGAAAATGGAAAAACACTATTTACTCTTTCTATTATCGAAACCTGAAACAGTTGAGAAAATTAATACATAACTTTTTATATGAATATAATAAATGAGTACTTTTTATAGGGTTCAAAATAATATGTTGCATAAGTCGTATGAAAAAGCTTTTTTCAAATTATGGATTTCTTAGCTTAATCCTTATTGGCACATCACGTCTACTTCTCAGCAATGTATGTGAAAATATATTGCCTCTATTTTAGAATCTTTTTCAGCTCCAACGACTGGACAGACTGACAGACACGCAGACGAATTGTTATATCTATTTAGAAAACCATACCGAATAAAAATTATTAAAGAGATTACAAGTCTTATGATAAACTTAGTCTAGGCTCTTGTAAAAATAGGAACCTTCTCAAAATTGTTCACAACTTCTTAACACTAACTGCACTATATAGTTTAACCAGTTGTGAAGTTAAGAAGTCTTCTTGTGTAGACATAACACTTGTTTTCTTTTTCGTTTTAGTCTACAGTTACATGTGAGTTAATTGCCAGATAATTTGCTTTAATTTGTTGTTTTTTCCTTTTTTTCCATTATCTTGAGAGATTGCCTTTAATCCACATTTCAATATGTTGTATTCATTCCAGAATGCCATGCTTCCGATAAATGGAATTCCTCCAATATGTACAGAGATTAAAATGACATTTGTTTATGAAAATAGGGTGAAGTTAGCATTTCTATAAAAGTTAATTCGTAAAGTAAATTTTCTTTAAACGAATCTCTCTCAAAGACGTACAAACTAAACTAAAAAAGTGTTTTTTATTAAAAGCAAGATAATAAATTCTTTTTACAAAAGTTGCAAGTCATAATTAGAAGCGCATAAAGTTTATTTAATGGATGCAATTAAGGTCATGAGCACTTTAGCAAAGTACGAATTGAAACTTTTACCCAAAAGAACAATATTGAAATCGCTTTTTTTTCTTTTTAGGTTCAAAATTTAGAGATTTGCTCTTACAGTTACTATATCATTCAAGTAGTCATTTTTCACTTTTACTGATTAAAAATTCAAAGCTTGAGTTCGGATAGTCAGCTCGTTTTGTTGCACTAAACTCCACAGAAAAAACTCTAAAATCAACTGACTATATATGTAGACTAGTGTTGTTCCAACAATAAGTCGCATGAGCTACATATTCTAAATTAAGTTGTTTGCTTCTGCCTGCGTGAATACGTTACAATTTGCAGGCAATCGCGGATTAAAAAAACCAAGCACGTTCCAGTAGTTATCAGAAATTTTATTTAATATTTCGTACAACAAACGACAACGTACTCATTTAACTGAAAGTTAGGGACCACTTTTACACTCTGCAGTTTAGTAAAAACAGCTGAAAATGGAAGCGAGAGTTAAGTTTTTCAACCGGAATAAATTCAGTTCAGCGAGGCATTGAAAATATTACCAAGAACAATTTATGGTCGGTACAAAAGATTCCTGGAGAAGGAGAACACTTCGAGGCTGGTTTCAGATTAGAGGATTTTAGTACGTTCGTCGTAGGCGAAAAAAGTTTAATACAAACAATAGTAAACAAAAAATCATGCTTGATAACAAAACAATCACTAATAGAAGATGAAACAAGAAAGAAGATTGCAGGCTATTCAAGCGAAGTGCATAAATACTAACGCACGCTAGTCATTACCAAGGACAACAAAGCTAAATGTCTATGACATTATTCAAAACCAATTGATTGACTCGAGCCAATCATTAAGTACCGCAAAGTTTCAATATTAAACGAAAAGCAGAAAGCACGTTGAAAGTGATGTTCCCACGTATGTTGAATTCACCGGACAATGTTTCTCCTCATTGCAAAAAGACAGCCAAGGCCATATGTGCCAACAGTTTTCATTCAATCTCACGGTGATACGACAAAATTGAAAAAATTATTCTTTGAGCCCAGATGTCATATGTTAATAATAATATAGTAAAAAGTAATAGCAAAATATTTTGAAGTAATAGAAAAATATTTTGAAGCATTATATTACTTCTTTCTTTATTAGAAAAGCACTTAAAATGAGAGCACATATCCACAAATAAAGTTGTATACATATGCAACAATGATTATTTTTAATATAGCCCAGTTGTGGCCATAAAAAGATTCGGTTCAACTGTAAATTTTTCCTGCATTAGTTTATGTACATCTCGTTCATTAATAGGAGTTCATTAGGCCAATAAATAGGGATAATTCGCAAACAAGAAAGAAACATCTTTATAGTTAATATCGTCTCATTAAGTTAATAATAGAACTAAGTGGTCTTAAACTTATAATAAAGAGAACATTTAAGGCAATTATTGAAATTTATCCGTAAAGAAAAAAAGAAGCAACAATCAATGAAATCAAAAACAAAAGCCGTCCCAACGCAACAAGTCAGCAAATTCACCGTAGTTAAGTCGAACGCATAACCCATGGTGCAAGATAAAGAGGATGTTTTAATAAAATAAAAACACTTGCACGACATATTCCTTCCACACATACCGCCTTGCCGCGGTAGTGATGGCTATAATAAATAGCTGGCCTTTGACACGGTGTTCCACCGATTACCGTATGCGTCCAGTTAACGATGTGATTGGTTTCTTTTGCTTTACAGTGCAATAAGAATTCATTTATATAATCTCCCATATAATTTACGGTGTATTGACTAAGCCAAGTAAAGTACTGCCCTTGATAGGACACATGATTATAAGTTGCGCATTGTTCATTACGCATTCGAATGACTTTACATTTATCATCTTTACATGAACGATATTTTTGTCGAATACCGAAGCAACCTTAATTTTCCAAAGATGACTTCGGATAAAATGTTTTTTTCGATTGGCAAAAACTTATAGTAGAGTTTCATATTCTTTTGAAACGAAATACTTATGAAAACAAACAAACTTGTTTTTTTATTTATTTACTCACCTTTTCAAACATAATCGTTTTGTTATTTGTACATAAGTTTTAGAACAACGGCTCCAGTTTTCCCACTTACCCTTCACCTATTATAAACGTCTGACGTTGCCTTGATCGGCCTATTGAATTAACACTTCCATTATTAACTTTTTCATCGAGATAATAATCATCGTCATCGTCATCGTAAATGTAATCATAATAATCACGCTCTTCAGGCAATCGATTAAGAACTTCAGTGTTAGTACGGTTTAACGCTTGGGTAAAATTTTGGGCATTTACAAATTGACTTACATCCCAGAAAACAATTATAAAGAAAGCTCTAAAATGATTTTAAAATGTCAATAAAATAAAACTTTAGAAAAATACAATTCTTTCAAAGCTTAAATTTGAAAAAATACGAAGAGGAATTATGTTCGCCCTAAACGGACTCTTTTCTTATTCATTCATCCGCTGCGGATGAACTGCGGCGAACAAAGTCGGAAACTGCGGATCGATATGCTTAACTGCAGCATAAAATGTGAGGCGGAAATGATAACACAAAAGCAGACTTTTAAGTACGGGAAACTGCATATCTATATACCCCCGCACTTTTAGCAAAAGTCACAATACTTTGAGACTGTCACGTTCTCACTCACTGTAAACGGATCTATGAACGAATGTAAATGATTTTTTCGGTTAGCGTGACGAAAACATTACGTATTAACAAAATTGTAAACCGTAGTTCGCAATATCAATATGTGAGTTGCTTTATATATTCTTTATTCAGCAAGACATGTAAGGGATATTTGATAGACATAGAAAATGGAGTTCGATGCGACGAAAAAAAAGTTAGGGCAAAGCGGTGACAAATGTAAAAACTAAAATGAAATAATTATGTGTTACCGGTCAGAAGAGTAGGTGCGGTCTCCTCTTATTTTTTGGATAATAATAGTAACACATTGTAGCCATTAGTCAGGCTTAATTGATTTCATTTATTCAAAGTTACTTACTAGGCTTGCAATAAGCAGAACAGGTACAAAAATTATTTTATCAAACTTTTTCGAAATCAATGATATCGAAAAGTTTCGTACGACACTTTTTCATTTTAATGATCGATTTTTGTTTGTATTTGTTTGTTGCAGAATTTTTGCTTCTTTGTTGCACAATCTTCTACTAACTAATTGAATTTAATGATCAAACTAACCCAGTTATGAAGAAAAACGCCCTCACTTTTATTTTGTATTACACGCACACAGTGAGATATAATAGGACGCATATACAAACTTGATAATATAGAGATGTATATTTCAAAGATTTCTTTTATTCATTTATTTTAACGTATTTAAAAAAGTTC